CACCACCACCACCCCGACCCCCTCCGCCAGCATACGGTACTGCTTCCCCGGCCGTCGGCAGGCGAGACGATTGCTAGGTTGCAAGCGGTGGATATACCGTTTGTTATCATCTGGGAACCTGAGACGGCGTCGTCGGGATATGGAGGAGACGATGGATTCGATAACGAGTTTGCTTCAGAAGAGGAAGTAGCGAATACTCTTACTAGAGTTCTGGGGTTGAAGGATCCGATTTGTCCGATGAAGGTTGTGGGGAGGTGGACGCTTTTGAGGAGTGTTGCTGCACAGGGTCAACAATTAGTCACCAATGGGAAAGATGGTAAAAAGGAAGAGGTGACGGGGACTTTGGTCATTGGTGACAATGAGGACAGGAACAAGGAGATGGCAAGGATGTTGGGGTTTCAAGCGGAGAGGGTGGTGAACGCGGAGGAGGTGGAGAGGATGTGGAGGAGGAGGGAGGTGGTTGACGAGGAGCGGAAGGAGGAGGAGGAGGAGGAGAAGGGAGAGGTGAATGTGGTGGTGGAGAAGGAGGACCTGGGCCTAAAGCAGAACCAGACCCAGGGACAACACCTGAAGCCGACGAAGCCGACTCTGAGCTTGAGGAGCAGGCTGAGTTGCCCATTCGATGATATGAAGGTCGTCGAGGGTCTTTGCTTTTCCCCGGAGGATAAGATGGACGAGGAAAGTACAGACAATGACGGCGTTACGTCAGAGAAGCAAGCTGGGCTCGAGGAAAATAAAGAGGGAGCGAACAAAGGTGGCCATACAGAGTCACCGACGTCGACTCCCGATACTGTCCAGGGCCAATACATCCCGGTCAAGCATAGTGAGCGGACCGTGGCATATGTTCCTGTCAGTCCTACAAGCACCACAAGCTCGGAGAAAGACTTGGAGTCTCCCGTCACTCGCGTTACTTCCATCATTTTCTTCTCGCCGCCATCCCCAAAGACATGGGACCGGGATGTCCGTGTTGTCAGCAAGCTGTGTCAATCGCAGGGCGATGAAGAGGAAGTACCCAAGCTTTACATTGTTCAAAAACCGGGAGAGCTTGGATCTAGTAACCTATCTCTGGCATCTTCTTCCTCCTCGTCATTGGCCTCGTCGGCATCATCAATCGCCCCTTCGCCGACATCTTCCACGTCCCCTTCAGAGTCCAGTCTTGATACCCTGACCACCACAGCCTCTACCGTCTTTTCCCACGCTTCCTCCACCTCGACCTCCGAGTCTGTGCCGTCTAAGCGACAATTCAAATTAACAATGCCTCGCACGGCATCGGACTGGATCCGCGACGTTGCCACTCACTGGCGAGCCATCAATCCCAATCTCCCCGACAAGACCAAACTCCCTTATTACCTCATCGACCCCCTGACCTGCGCCCTTCAGGTTCTCGAAATCGGCCGCCAACGAGCGCAGTCGACCATCTGGGCGAGGGCCAATCTCCCGGTGCACTTGCGCCAGGTACTACGTCTGGAGACGCTTTACGTCGTCGACTCGGGTGAGCACCCGTCACGTTTGTTCAACGATTTGAACAGTGCCAAAGGTGGCGGCAAGGACAAACATTCCGCTTCCGCTTCCGCCGACCCTGATCTTGATTTGTCGTTTCAGCGGTATCTAGCATCCCTTGGGGTGGAAGTCATTCCCGCGAAACGGTGCAGGAGGATCGGGATGAGCAATGTTTACGCTTTAGAGAAGAGGGTGCAGAAGCTGGGCTATGTGTGTCGCCCACTCTATAGTTCCAAACGTGAGCCACTACAGGACGAGGACCAGAACACAAAGAAAGTCCACGAAAACAAAGACAGCGGAGATACCAGCGCCCGCCAACAACCCACTACCCAGACGCACCAAAGACGAACCTCTTGGTTCCGCCAGCTGATTACGAGAGGCCAACCCCGATCCAAGTCTCGCAGTCCCGGTGCCGGTGGCCAGAGTCAGACTCAACGCCCCTCTACCTCTACCTCTACCTCTACCAACAAGACCCGCAACCACCACCACCACACCAAACATACCAACCACAGTAACAACAGCACCACAAACCTAACCATCAACTCAACCAATATCCCCACCGGCATCCCCCGGAGCATGACCACCCCCAACTACCCCAACGCCACAACAACAGCAACACCAACAGCAACAACAGCCAAATTTTACTCGCCCAGCGCCCTGGACATGGTTTCGCGCAGCCCCACACAAAAGGCAAGAGACATGAGTGCTATCACGGCCTTCTGCCATAGTAACAATATCGAGACGGCGGTGAAGTACGCTGTCAATCGTGAGTATTGGGAGTGTGTGGATAGGGGGTTGAGGCCTGTTTGGCCGACTGCTGGTGGGGGGGCTTGGAGTGGTGGTGCTGCTGGTGGTGGTGGTGGTGGTGGTCGCATCTGATCTGATCTGGTCTGGTCACGATTTACCTGCGCGGATGGTTGTCAGATGGATCGAGAACTACATAGATGCCGTTGAGGCAAGACGGATCAGTAGTAACGTGGATTGAGAGAATTTGAGACCAGGTAGAGCTAGGGCTGAAGGGTTGATATCCAAAATATCGGACTCGAGCTAGGTAGACAGCGCATAGCCAGGCATTACAGGTAGGTACCTATGTAGACAAAAAAATGGTCAGGGACATACTTCGAGATTACCTATCGAAGCGAATTTCAACATGGGTTTGTTTACATGTAAGTGCGAAGTGCGAAGAGTGTAGGTAGGTTTGGATGTACTTTTTATCTAGCTTGGGACTTATTACCTACTAGTGGTCACTAGAGGTATTCAGGGGGTTTGTTTACATCGTTAGTCTTTAGACTAGTAACTGACTCAGGCTAGCGAGCCTTGTTGTGTGTGCTCGACAAAAAAAAAAAAAAAAAAAAAAAAAAGGCCGATATTTAGTAACGTATGTATGTATGTGGGAGAGAGCAAAAAAGACGAAAAAAAAAAAGAAAAAAGAGATGTTGTCCTACAAGATAGGAAGGAACATCGTTCGGGAATTGAGCCCGACGTGGGGGTCGAACCCACACCACAACCTTGAGATTAAGAGTCTCACGCTCTAGGTCTACCGATTGAGCTAGCCGGGCAGCTGGCTCTTTGTTTGCAAGGCGCTGCCATGTCATTGGTTTTTTTTTTTTTGCAGGAAGGTCAGATTTAGTATTCATAAACTCATCATGGTATTACTACAAAAACAAGGCCGGGCTACAACAACCACTTTCTTCCTTCCCACCACTTCCACTTTTTTTTTTCTCTCCTCCTCCGCGTCGTCATATACGTACGGTACAAAGCAACGAGAAATGATAACAGAGAACAACTACCAAGCCTCCCACCTCTGGCCCCCCATGGCCACCAACCGATTAAACAACTCATCCCTCAACGGACACGCCGTAACCTTGAACATTTTTCCTTCTGTCGTGACAATCTCCAGCCCATCTTTCACCTCCCTCTCCATACTCCAATCCACCACAATCTTGGCCTTCCATCCATACCCACCCACCTTTTTAAGCTCAGTGACATCCGCCACCGCAACCGTCCACAACGGCTTCAGGTCTTCCCTCTCCTTGCCCGCAATCACCGCCGTCTTCTCTTCCTCCTTTCCGCCAGCAACAAACGCCACGCTGGGAATCGTCGCCGCCGTGCTGATGTAGACGTGTCCCTTTTTGCCGTTGTATCGACAATCGAACTTGACGGGGCCAGAGACGGGGATCTCGTCTTTGGGCGGGACGACACCCAGCCGGTCTTTGGCGTGATGAGCGCCCAGCTTGGCGCGGATATGATCGGTTGCTCCGCCCGTGTGGACTAGGCCGGCGGTGGCGTTCTTGATCCAGCCCAGCACCTTGTTGGATTTCTTAGTCTGCTTGTTCTTGGAGTGGGAGTCGACGTCGAAGCCGGCTTCGCGCAGGCCATCTTTGGGATCGGTGTGCGCTGCTTCGTCGAGTTCGCTGGCTGATGCTTCAAGTGGGTAGGCGGCTCCCTCAGCGCGCATTTGGGCTTCGGAGTCGAGGGATGCCGGGCCGTTGGCTGGGTCTTGGACCGGTTGCTCGACTACGCGCGGGGGAGGGGGCAGGGGCGCTTTGTTGGCTTCGCCGATGCGTAGGAGGGTGAGGGTTAGTTGGGCGTTGGTGGGAACCCCCTTGAGCAGGGTGTTGCGCAGCTCGAGGAGTTTTTGCCAGTCGGGGATGATCCGGTTGAGGTATTCCATGCCGGGGCGGATGATGGGGTCGCCGAACATGCCGAAGCCGAGGAAGAAGGTGAGGGATTTGACGAACATGTAGGAGGTGATGAAGAGGGAGGCGCCGAAGAGGGGGATTACGAGGGTGGCTAGACGCAGGCGGTGGGTGTCCTTTGGGAAGGGAGGGGTGGGGGAGAGGGCACTGGAATCTGGTTAGTTATTCCAGTCATATTATGCGGCTGTGAGAAAGGATTCGAGAGAACGTACTTGGCGAGTCGCTCATAGTTATCACTGATGTTACCGACCACCTGCATAACGGGTCGAAGCTTGGCCCACATGGCAAGCTCCATGGGCTTCTTGGTCTTGTCTTGGACTGCATTCCCAATGTTAGCAGTTGCCAGGGAGAAAGAGGAAGAAGGTGTCGTGAGACTCACCATCTCCCGCAGGATGTTTACCCGCAGCACTGCTCACAGCGAGCTCAGCGAGTCCGTTGACCAAGTTATCAGCTTCCTGTTCCACGGCCTCGCCCTTGTGATTCTCAGGGGCACCCGTAGCACTGTCCTTGCTACCGAGGGTGCCTGCCCACGGCTTTTGCACGCCACCAGTGTTGGAATCAACAAGGGCGATGGGTGCTGGCGGGAAGAGCAGCTCGCGTGTGGGGGGATGGACAATGAGCGCGATGATCACGCCGGTGATGAGGGGCATGATAAAGTCAAAGAGCCAGGCGACGAAGTAGACTCCGGCAAACCAGGCCGTTCGCTCCCTCTCGCGCCAGGACCGGAGGCGGGCAACGTGCTTAACGGCGGCGAGAATGCCAATGATGACGGTGGTGTAGAGACGCTCGATGTTAGCGCGCATCTTGTCGGGAGAGAATTCTTCCTCCTCTGCCGTGTTGAGGTCCAGGCCGCCAGGCACGGGAGTTACCACTGCCTTGGTGTGGATGATTTGCTGTGGTAAGTGTTAGACGGAGGCTTGACTTCCAGATAGTACTCGATGGGTAGTAGCTTGTGTGGTTTACTTGCCTTGTTGAAGCGGCGGACGAGCAGCCATAGCTCCTCATTGTCAATACCGCCGACCAGAGGGGCAGCAATCTCCTGCTTGGGTTCGTTCCAGCCCAGGTTGCGAACCTCCTTTTCGCTCTCCAGCTGGGCGGCGCCCTTTAGCCTGTGGTCCTCGGTGGCCAGCGCATGGGAAAGCGTGTGACCATCTTCAAGACCGCCTGCTGACTTGTCAAAGGCCTTCTTGGATTGCAGGATATCCTGGGCATTCTCAGCGGGAAGAGGCAGGAGATCCTTAAGTCCTGTACCAGGACCCGTGTCGCCGGTGATGGGATTCTCTTCCTTCTCCCCGGTGAGGGGATCGGCTCTCTTTTCAGTCAAGTTTTCGTCCAGCATGATGGCGGGTTTCGTTAGCACATCTAGGGTTGTTGTGGTAGTCGTTGAAGGCGTTGTTATATCTGCAGGTTTATAACACGGAACCGGGTATGATCAATGGAAGGAGGGGAGGATTAGTTGAAAATGTTAAGGGCTGGGAGTCGTCTGATGTTGAAGTCTTCTGGGGCCCTGGAGGGGGAGTGTGGTAACTTTGATGGAAGAGTCCAGACACACGGCATGGGCGGGGCATCAGGTATCCCAGCATCCGAGAGACCTACACTAGAGATACCATGACGACGGGACGGGAGTCTGGAAGCGGTGCTAAGGTTGGACAAGGACGACCCGTCTCGTCCGAACGGGAAAGGGTCGACGGGACTTATGACATCAGTGGCGCCAAGAAAGGGGACCGCTGGGGGACCACTGGAACCACTGGGGACCTGCTACTGTTAGTGCAAAGCTGACAGATTCCAGGGTTCCGGATCTGCAATGCCAACTTGGATTCAGCTTCGTATCACAACGACTTCTCCTTTGACCCGGATTACTTGTTTTCTGGCTCATTCTCCACGAGCAATTGTATTTAAAACTACCTAGACACTCACAGAGGCAGTCCCTGGTTTGTTTGTCGTCTCTCTTGCCTGCCCGGCGCAGAGTGTTGGGCAAACAAGCGTCGGCTGTACTAACACTTATACGTCATGCCAAGCCAAGTGGCCGCCAGCTGCAAGGAACCATCCGTCAATAAGGCACTATCCCGTCCTAACAATTTCCAGCCGTAGACTGACATTGGCAAAACTGCACACGATGGATGCTTTGATCCTGTTACGCGCTGACTTGGAAACTTCAAGAGTTGGAGCTTATGGATCGCAGAACGAAAGGGTTTTAGACTTGTATATCTGATAAACACCGATGCTGGGCGTGCACCGGTACAGTTCGTTTGATGATGTCAAGTACATAATTGTTAAGGACTGATCCCCTGGACCCACTTACAGATGCTGGCAGAAGTGGTGACGACATACATTTGTCTTTTGGCCATTAACAACACCACGCTTCCCCATCTCGACTTGCCTCGATAAGTATACCCGTCGAGACAACAACCATTGTACTCTCACAGCTTTACCTACTTTCTGCACCCAATTCATACTGCCCATTCTCGCCAACACCATGACCGTCACCACTCCCGAACGCGTTTTCCAGCTCACAGGCTCCTGCAACAACTACCCTTGGGGCAAAAAGGGAAAGCAGTCGCTAGCCGCTCAACTATGCGCAAAGACCGACAAGAGCTTCCAGATCAAAGATGACGAGTTCTACTCGGAATTGTGGTTCGGCGACTATCCCGACTTTCCAGCAAAGAAGTTCGATACGGGAGAGCCCTTGAAAGACATCCTCGAAAAGAACAAGGAGACGTTGCTGGGGAAGAAGGTTATTGAGAACCTCGACGGCCAACTTCCGTACTTGCCAAAGGTATGGTTTCAATCGATATGTTACTCGGATTGTAATGGGACCCTCGTGCTGACTTCTTACCTCCTCCAGATCCTTTCCATCGCCAAAGCCCTCCCGCTCCAAATCCACCCCAACAAGGAACTCGCGACAAAGCTCCACAAGAAGGACCCCCAAAACTTTACCGATCCCAACCACAAACCCGAAATTGCCGTGGCCCTGTCCAAGTTCGAAGTCTTTGCCGGATGGAAGCCTCTTTCCGACATTGTGCCTCTCTTCCAGCTTTCCTTCCTCCGCCAGTTTGTTCCCGCAGGGACCACCGACACCTGGACCGACGCCACCCTCCGTGAGATTACCAAAAGCCTGCTCAAGGCTGAAGAGTCTAGCGTAGAATTTGTCGCCCAATCGCTTCTCAAGACCCCCAAGGAAGATCTCGGACCCAAGAATGCCTACATTCCCGATCTGATTCCCCGTCTACAGGATCAGTACGGCCCCAAGGATCCGGGAACTCTCGTCGCCCTCCTCTGCATGAACTTTATGGTTCTCCAGCCCGGTGACTCCATCTACATCCCCGCCGATGGTATCCACGCTTACCTGTCGGGTGACATTGTCGAGTGCATGGCCCGCAGCAACAATGTGCTCAACGCCGGGTTCTGTCCTCCCGCCGACCGCAACAGCTACGACTTGTTCTCCGAGACGCTGACGTTCCAAGCGCATACCGCGGCGGACATGCTGCTGCCGAGCAAGAAGAGCGAGAAGAGCAAGGAGGGGCGCACGGTGGTGTATAAGCCGCCCATGAGCGAGTTCGATATGCTCAAGGCTGACCTAGGAGCTGGGGAGAGCGACGAGATTGCGCCGAGCGACGGGCCTGGCGTGTTAATTGTTACAAGTGGCGAAGGGACCATGTTGGCCGATGGCAAGACATTTGACTTGAAGGAGGGTTCCATCTTCTTTGTGGCACCCGAGACGGCGGTTGTCTGGAAGACCGACAAGGGGATGCAGATTCACATGGCGGTTGTTTGAGGAGCGTAATCCTCCTACGGTAAACCTTTTTTTCTTTTCTTTTTCATACCTTATGTCATACTACTGGCACCCAGACGAGACTTTT